CCATCCATCCATCCATCCATCCATCCATCCATCCATCCATCCATCCATCCATCCATCCATCCATCCATCCATCCATCCATCCATCCATCCATCCTTATGATAGTCACCAATCCTCCTTTTTTTCTTATCTTAATTTGTTTCTCAGTCAGGCCAAAAGAAAGCATGTGTTATGATGTACAGCAAGCCTTACTGCAGGTTGACAAAAGCTAGATTAATAAATTAATTAAAGCTACGCCTTGAGACTGTTCTGTAAGGGCTAATCAGTTTCAGTCAAAATAAAACATGCTTGTTAATTCTACCCATGAGTGTGGCAAGTTTCTAATTAAATAGTCTGATCGATGTGTTCCTGTGCTGCTTGAAAAGGGTGAAGAGTTTGTGATGGCGTGTTTTTTATTGCCATGAACTGCTGTAAATTTCCACTTTTTGTGTGAGTGTAAAAGTCCCCTTGTATGATAATAAAAAGAGTTGACTGGGTTCAAAAATCCTTATTTTCTTAATTTTGTAACATTGGGAACATTTTAAAGCACAGTTGACATTATCATGAGTCTTAAGCTACATTCCAGGCTTAATATCGAACTTATTCTCTTTTCCAGACCCCCTCCATCAGACCCTGGACCAAAAGCTGGAGTCCAGAGCAGCCATGGGACCGGTGACAGGTTGGCCTCTCACGACACCCCTCAGCACACTGCGCCTCAAGGAGAGCTGGGCCAGGGTCATGTTTCCAGGAAGAATCTGCAGGTGGACTTGGGTGGCAGTAGGACTGGAAGGTCTCCTTCTGTGTCCCCAGACCGAGGAAGTGCCCCCACCTCCCCTTACTCTGTGCCTCAAATCGCCCCGATGCCCAGCAGCAAACTGTGCCCAGTCTGCAAAACCACCGACCTGATGGGCACGGGGATGACAAGCAACACCTGCACACAGTGCCGCTCCAAGGTGTGCAGCCAGTGTGGCTTCAACCCCAACCCCCACCTTACAGAGGTAAGATGGATTTATTTGAAGGATGGTTTTCTTTTTTTCCCCTCATGTTAGTGCAGTTATTTTTTAAATAGAATGCTTTGTCGTGAGTTACAAAGTAATGCTTTCAGATGATTAATATTTTTAATTTGATTAATCCCAAAGTATCTGTAAATTAATCATGATTAATCTTAAATTACCCACGCAACCCTGAAAAGGAAGAAGCGTGTACAGAAAATGGATGGATGGATGGATGGATAATCTTAAATTTAATATACATTTCTATTGCATATTGTTAAAATAAATTACCGTATTTATTCGTGTATAATACATAAAATTTAATCCATAGATTCATTCATAAAGTTGTGGGGTAGCATTATACTCGGATAAATATTTTTACTTATGTATTTTAACTGAAATATCGGCTAAATTATTGAGTCCGGAAATGAGAACGCGTTGTAAAAAGCAGTTGAAACAAGCTCACCTGTGACAGTCCTCCATGCTGCAGAGCGAGAAAGTAACAGATCCGAGCAGGCGACATGATGTGAAAAAAATGGGGGAAAAAGCAGTCCTGCAGCTCAGTAATGATAACAAACTAATGACATTAGCGTGTGACTGAGCTGCTGCTGGAACATGTCCGTCTGTAATGGCTGCCATCTACGGTGTTCTGAAAAGTTTTGTATCCCTGAAAAAAAGTTTCCCCACCAGCTCGTGAGTAGGAAGTAATCTGCTTTTCCCCTTGAAGATGGCCCAAATCTCATGTGAAGTCTCTGACTTTTGTGTTGCGCCTCCTGGTGGACTATGTGTAAAATGCCAGAATTCATATGATGCTGCTACAGCTGATATATATTTGTTGTCAAAATACCTTTTAGTACATACAGTATGTTGTTAAAATAAAATGAACAGTCCAATGATCATTTTACTGATGTGTATAAAGACTGCAAAGGCTGAACAATCTTGAAGTCTGTATGAAATTGGAGGCAGTTTGAGGATTAAATTTTTTATGCTTTTTAAGTTCAAAAAACGKGGGGGGGGGGGGGTCGTATTATACATGAATAAATACGGTACTCGAGTTATTAATTAGTTTTTAATGTTTTTATTTAGAAAACAAAAATGATGCTTAGACATGATTTTTTGATTATAAAACAGGACCCAAAAATGCTCCAAACATATTTGAGTCAGTTGAATTTTGTGCAGAATAATGATTAAATCAAGAATTCAAGGATTTTCATTCCAAATGAGTTCTACATGAGGAATGAAAGATAGATACTAAGGTCACTGTTGTCAGCAAAACATAAATAAATAAAATAAAATAAGCTATAAGAAGACAAAAAACTGTACATACAACTGTACATACAAACTGTACACATGGAGTTTTTTAATTTATTTTATTTATCTAACCTTTATTTATCCAGATAAACAGCTTGAGAACAACTTCTCATTTACAAACATGACCTGGCATGCACTGACATGGAGTGCATTGCAGTATACAAACCTACATATTTAGCCATAGTAAAGTGATTGTTTATAAAAAAAAGTTAGATTAATCGCGATTAAATTTTTTTTAACTATGCCCAGAACTAAAATTAATCAATATGAGTTAACTCAATTAATTTCACAGCCCTATTACAAAGTTAACATTCTTATGTCAGTTTGCATTCCTGGGTTCTTACTTTTGACACCATGACAGTTTTTCTCTTTGTACATCAGTATAAACAAACATGAGCCACGCTTTCATGTTGCGTATCTGGTGCATCATTAGTTTGAGTATAAAAACCAAACATTTTGCTCAATAACTTTCTTCCTCTTCCACCTGCCTTATAGCATCTCCAGACAACAAACCCCAGTAAATACAGAGTAATTTAGTGTATTATTTCAGTTTTTAAAGTACAGCAGTTACGTATGCAACTCAGAGGCTAAATTGTGAGTTAATTTGTCCCATGAGAACGATTGACATTTGTGAGGAATGTTGACGATGACTGTTGTTGCTGAGTTGCCTGTGACTGGTTCACAGGCAGTGATGCACCTGCTGAATGGGAGTTAGAATGTGAGATCAGATGCATGCTGGGTAAAAGCTGTGAGCTTCTTGTTCTACCCGGTAGCTGTAATTTCACTCAACTGGGGAAGTTTGAGCTTTATGATCTTTGATGTTCAGAAACAAGATTGGCAGTCAGTTTGTGCATTTTGTATTTTTCAGTTTGCGCAATCAGATGCTATGATTTAGAACCAACTTTCTAGTTAATGCTACTTCTACAAGTATCTAAGGCAGCCGGTTCGGATGTTATCAGTCCATTAAATGGACATTATTAGCGGTTATAAGTCTCATAGATTGGCTTCAGACTGTCTCGACAGTGCCCCCTAGTGGGTTACCAGTGCCATGTACATTGGAATGCAACAATCTGCTACCACTGGAGTCTGGTCTACTTTATCGTAGCCCATGTCATTTTCTATAAAATTAACCTTAGTGGTTTTATGCCTCATATTAACCAGATTGCATAAAAAACCTTAGTGGCTTTATGCCTCATACTAACCAGCTGACAGTCTGAAGCCATTCTATGGGACTGATAACGGCTAAAAACGTCCATTTAATGGATTATAACATCCGAAGCGGGTGATCTAAGGTGTATATAATCTTTGTGACGTACACTTTGTGTCCATCCTTTCAGACACTATTAAGCGAGAAGAAAACTCAACACATTTTGCCGTTAACAATCACTTGTGTCCAACTAAACATGTATTAAAGTGAACAGGTAGCTGAGAAAGCATTTTGCTTTAATCCAAAAATAAATCACTTTCCTAATTTGAATTAGGCCATGCCTCACTGTTGCTGTGAATCAAGTATGGCTGTCATCTGTCACAAAGTTTCACGTCAACTTCAGTGAGTCATGATGAAGAAATGCAGCGATGCAATGTTAGTTAAACTCGCCTATAGGCTATAGGAGCGAGTGTAAGCTCGTTACACGCTAAAATTACACGCTAAAGGAAGAGAAAATGTTCCGTTTTTGAACAAATGCAAGCACTGATTTTAATTTACTGCCTGTGTTTAGGCCTGAGTACATGCATGCATGAGTGCACATCAGAACATGAGAGGAAAACGGAGAAGCGTGGGAAATGGAAGGACAAGAAAGAAATGCACATACCAAAGAGGAGACAGCCAGTAGAGAATAGAGGGTGGTGGTGAGTGAACGAGAGCGTGGCAGTGAAGAGAACAGCGGAGGTGGCTACTTTTCAGCTCAGCCGTGGTGAGCTTGTTGGATGTTGACAGGAAGAGAAACAGGGAGAGAAAACGTGCAGCCTCTGGAGACCTGAAGATTTACCCCTGTAACCCAGTTAACATGGATCCAGCCTCTGCCTCACTGCAGGAAATCAAGAAAGGTCCTGTCACTTATCAGTCAAATTGATTATGGGCATTTTGCTGCAGATCAACGTGATGATAATACAGAGGGTGATGACTTGAGCTGTGATTACAGGGATAGTGATTGACTAAGTGAAAAGATAACCACAGTAAGGAAGCTGCAGTGAAAAAGTCTTCTCGAGGAGGAAGCCATTTTGATTTTTAAGGTGTAAATTTTTGTTTAAATTGTAAAACCAGGATTTAAAATAAACTTGAAGGTATTTTCTCTAAATATTTGAAGTTTGGAAAGTTTTTCATGTTTTTTGGGGAAATCTGTGGCATTTGTTGATTCCAGGATTACTCGCTTATTTACGAATTTACAAGTTTAGTCAAGGATCTCATCTTGCTTTGTCAGCTGTGTGATTCAGTTTACAAATAATTTTAAGACATTGGACAAACTGTCCCAAATTATGAAAATAATATGATCAAAAAGTGATACAGAGGAACGAGCAAATTAAAATGAAAGGCTCAGCATTCTTTGGAGGAATGCATATCACCCTCTGCCTTTCATACCAAGTTTATAAACTGATTATTTTGTGAAAATGACAGAGTTATGGCCTCTGAGCATTTATAGCAGTCTATCAAGAAATGCTAGGCCATAATTATCAGAAAGTTTGACCTCTTTGGATGGTTCAAAATGTCATTTTAAGCTTGATTTCTGGTTCTGAATTGATCGTAGGTAAAAGCATACAGTAAGGTTGTAAAAATATTTAAAAATGAAAGATTCTTCTAATATACTAGAAACCAGTAGATGCACCACTGCAACATTATTGATGCCAACAGCACTGTCTTTTCCTTTACTCGAATCAGTCACAGGAACACTCAGCAGTTTCTCTTCTTTTGTATTAACGTCGTAAATTCCAACGTCCCTGCCCGAGCCTGAGGCTCGACGTTTGCAGGAAAACGTAGTTCTGCTGACTCAGCCACAAAGTTTAACTATGAAAGACTCGTCCGGCACAACAACAGCGTGACACATAAACTACAGCGATGAAACACCTGCTGCAGCGGTTTAAAGACGGAAATGATCCAATACGACTGGAAAAGAGACTGAGATGACAAAAAAATACAAAACATCCACCTTCGTTTTTAAGGAGAGTGTGCTTTTCAGACGATGGGTTATGGGTTAAATATTTATATATTTTTTACTATCTGACTGTGAGCCCGTTTAATAAAAGAAAAAAAAAGAATTTATTCAGGTAAATTTTTGTTCATGAAAAATTACTTAATTTTCTGTAATTTTGTCTTGATAAAAAGGTGAAGGGGTTTTGGTAGATTTAAATGTAAGTAGTGCATTTTCATTTTGTGTCTCGCTCCTTTATTTTTCTGTTAGGAAAACCAGCGCCGTTTTTATGGCTCCTAATTCATCAATTTTTGTCCAACCAGTATTTAAAATGAATATCAAGTTGTTTTTTTCTATAGATTTGGATTCGATTTTGAATTCTAAAAGGATTTCCACGTGAATAGTTGTGTGTCTCTGTGTTGGCTCTATGTACACGTAGCCGGTCCTGACTGAAATATAATGTCCACAACGACTTAAACACACATTTAAACTGTCTCTTCAAAGATGATGTCGTACAAAGTCTCCTTACTGAATCATTCCAGCCTATGTAGGGTGATGTGAGGGATGGAG